GATTTGTTGATAATTTTGGACATATCGACATACAATATACAGATTTAGTAGTGAATTTATTACATAATGACTATGATTAATGATTTTTGTTATGTAATAAAACATTACAGGAAAATATCAAAAGATCTGTTTTGTTTCACTCCTGCGTTTGATCGAACCAACCAATTTATAAAGAACGTGTTAGTAAAAAAAAATTTTTTTTCTGATCTTCGAAAAAATTGAAGGTATTTTTTCCATTATTATTATACCATTGACGACAAAAAATTTTTTTTCGTTTTTCAATGTTTGTGTATACATGTGTTTTTAATGATTTTTTTTTTTTTTTGATGTATGAATGCAATATTAATAATATTAATTTATTTTCACACAATTTATTTACACATCAAAAAGAAAATCCATAATAATAATAACGGTGACGGTATCGATACGGTATCGATGACAACATCGGTATTGATGGATGAGCAACATACCGTTTTAGTAAAAATTGTGTAGATGATGAATGATGGGAAAAATTTTTTTTTTAAAGGGCGGGCGATGTATGATAATTTTTTTTCTAGGAGAGGTTTCTTTACGATTTGTACCCAAGATAATAAAAAATGAAAAAAAAACAAGGGAGTTTTTCTTTGTATTATTTTTCATTTTAGCAAAAATATATATAATAAACATAAATAATTAAGTAATATAATTAAATATATGAATGGACAATGATTATTTTTTTAATTAAATAACTGGTAATTTAAATAATTTTAAATTGAATAACTTGATGACTTGTGTTATGATGTTTTGATAAACAATTAAAAGATTTTTTTAAAATATTTCCTGGGCTACCAACTAATTCCATTCAGTATATTTCATTTAACTTGTTCATAATCTCTGTGAACAACAATCAATTGACCAATCAGAATAAATATAAATTTCTAAACTTCTAAATCTTCTCTGTCCTGTCTCTCTACACCTATTATTAACAACTAATCAACATTAACATTCATTCATCCATTCAAATAATAATTTATAGTATTTAATGTTGGTATTTAATATTTTAATGATAGTGAATGGCGTGAATGAGCGGATAAATAAATGGATGTATAAAATGGATAATTATGGGCAAAGAAAATGATCTTCAATGCATTCTTTTAAAAACAAGGACTTATCATAATTTATTTACAATAATAAAGATTCTTGAATAGGAAAATAAAACATCCTCAGGAGGAAAAATTATTATTATTAGAAAAACACGAGATTGAAAATTTTCTTTTTTTTTATGTTATATATAATTTGTGACTATATGCTGCTGATGTTATCGTCATCATCATGTGATTTATTCATATGTAGACCATTCATTTGATTCTTCTTATACACACACGCACACACGCGAATCTTTCAATCAATCAATCAATCAATCAATTATTAATTGTAATAATAATAAATACACTTTTGAATTTAAAATCACGCGTCCGCAATATTATTTTGGCCGTGAAGCCTCGACCAAAAAATGCTAAATCATTGCACGTACGTACACACACACACATGAATAATATTAAAGAGCACATCGTCATTGTATTATTATCACTTTTTCTTGGCAAGCTAAAAAAGACTTTACTTTAATTGTTAAAGATAAGCTATTTAAAAATAAAATTTTAATCATAACCTAATATCGATAATACATCCTATTATTTTAATAATATATACTTTTTTTATCACTTGTCGATTGTAAAAAATATTTTATTTTCCCCCTGTTTTATCACAATTTTTTTTTGAAAAAAAATTTTTTCTTTGATCATTGGACAATATTTTTATTCGATTCTTGTAACAAAAAAAATTATTCGCACATATGCAATGCATTTACATAATAATACTTTATAAGAGGAAAAAACCACGTTTAATATTGTCGAATTAATACATATTTTTTTTAATTATTTTGTTTAAAGAAGGCTGCATGCAAAAAACACCTTTGTTTATCAAATTTTTCTTTGATTAAAAAAGACTTTAATTCTTTATATGGAAAGAAAAGATCTTCAGCCAAATAATCTTTATTTTATAGACGTGTATATAAATTCTAAATAAATAAATAAATCTTTTAATTAAACCCCAAAAAAATTTTATAATGATAACACTAATGTGTTTTTCAATATTTTCAATTTTTTGATGATTTTTTAAAAAATCACTTATGCTATTCGTGTTGTCTAATCTTGCATACATATATATACTTATAATAGTGTGCGTGGTGTGTGTGAATATTTTTATCTTAATTGTTATCAATACTATTTATTAATTAATAAATTTACGTGACGGGCGTAATTAAAAACATTGATCATCGATCAGGCATTTATCTATCATCAGTAATAAATGATTAGCTGGCTGATTAGCGTGATTGATAATGATGAAATTTGATCATATGACTAATAAATACTGCAATATGGACTAGCTATTATTATAAATGTGGAAGATTTGTTGATTTCAAAGAATAATACAATTACGCAAGACTTATTTCATTATTTCACTAGTTTCTATTGTGTTTTTTCTATTTATCGTGTTACTATTTCTTTTACTTTTTATTTTTTAGTTTCTGTAAAAAGTTTAAGATTGAAATTTAAAAATTTTGGAATTTTCTAATTTATAACGAATTAACGAGCTAACGAACTGAACAAACTAATAATAACGAACAAACGAACGAATGATAATCATCGACGTTAATCTAACTATAATAAGTCATATAATAATGTATAATGGTATGCAATTGATGTATGTATGTATGTGTTATAATCTACAATACATAATTTTATAATTTTTCACTAAAAATAAAATCTAAATAAGTAAAGTTCTAATTTAGGGGTTCATTTCTTTGTTGACTTTTTCACCGTTTTTTTTTAATGTTACACCGATTTGCATTTCTTGTTTTTATCAAGTATTATTTAATTAGAAAGATACCGATTATTAATAATAAAACCGTTTTATTAACAGATGTTTTTTCCATATTCTCTCTCAATTTATATATATTTGGCATTTAAAGGTTGTTTTTTGAATTTATCAATATAAATTTTATTATGAGTTTGTAGCTTAGTGCTAATAATTTGGTGAGCTACTGTTTTGTTACAATCACTACTATTGTTGTTGGGTTTTTTGATGGGATTGAAGTCAATAAACAAAATTAATTGGTGAGAATTTGTATGTGTGATAATAATTGGTTTCGGATCACCTTTTTTTTTATTAAAGATTTCTCTGATTTATAATTACACAATATATATAATATATATCATTCATTCAATACACAATTACAATATATATATCATCAATATTGTAAATTATGAAGATTCTTACTTAATTTAGAATTTTTTTTTTGTTTGTTATTGTTTTTGTTATAATTAGGATAAAATTTTTAACAGGAGCTATGTTATTTTTACTTATATATTTTTATTGCTTTATAATTAAGGTTTTTTAAATATAAATTTTTTTTGTCACGATTGCTTGCATTTATTCTATTATTATTTATTATAAATGGAAATTGTGATATTAATTACTCTTCTTTAGAAATAATTAATTAACGGGAGAGGGAGGAGGGAGGGAAGAAAAGGGAAACTATATTATTTGTTTGGAAGAAAGCAGTTACTTTATTTGCCACAAGAAAAAACATGGAAATTAATTTTTCCATTCAAGCCAAAGATTTTGTCAATTAAAAAAATTTTTTCTTTTACTTTAAATATCGATTTTAGGAAATTAACCAATTACCAAATACCAAATTTATCTATCAGTTAAAAACTTTTTGAATTCCATATAAAATTATGTGTCGCTTGAAACATTATAAAAAAATCAAGGCATTAGCATACAGACGCATATTAATTAATTGGCCAATTATTTAATGGAGGGTAGTAAGCGAAAAAGGATGATGTGCGTAATGAGTGAGTGAGATGTAAGTTGGTGAATTAGAGAAAAAAAATAAGCAGGCGAGAGAATTGTATATATAGATACGCACACACAAAGGAGGATAGGTAATGAATGAATCTTTGGAAGTAAAGACATGGATATATATATCTACGTTACATAATATTGTAACGTGTGTTTTACAAAGATTTTTTTATGTAAATCTGCCACACATGTAAATACAAGTATTCAAATCATTGCTCTATTTGATATTTAAATTCTTAATTAAGCACAAATTTGGAATTAAGGTTGAACCAACAAAAAATCAAGATTATTCTTTATTCTTTTCTAACTGACATCGTACATTTGTCTTCTTTTTAATGATTTGAGAGTAATAAATGAATGTAGATTTAGAAAAAACATTTAAAAATATTTATTTTCTAAACAATAGTTAGTAATAAAACTATGAAAATATTTCATAATTATAAAGTCCAAAATAGGAAATCCATATTTAAATTAAATTAAATTAATATCTAATCTATTAAAAATTTAATTTAATTAAAAGTATTTGTTATTATTAACTAAATTGTTTTATAATTAAACTGTTACATTTAAAAATATACCATTCAATAAACTTCTAAAAAAATTTTTTTATCACATGCTTTAAATATAAATAATTATCTATCACTAATAATAACATGATAATTATCACCTTTTTATCCGACCACCCCCTCCCCTTCACTTCCCCTTATCTCATCATATTTTTTCCAAACAAAAAATAAAAATAATTAAGTATAAATAAAATTATAATTAATGATAAAATTCAAAAAATCATAAATTGAGATGAAATTTATTTTCCTTTCATCTTTTTTTCTTTATAAATTTTTTTTGTTCAGTTTGCTCGTTTCATATTGATTTTATTATATTTAGTCTTTTTTTGACTTAAAAATAAAATTTCATATTTGGAAATAATAATAATTTACGATTAATTGATTATATATATATTTAATTTTAAAGATCACGAAATTCAAACAGTTTTTTTTAACGAATTATTTTATTATTATTATTTTATTAATAGTAATTAATAAATTAATAATAATCGATAATTTGACTATCATTAACCATTAATCAATTCTTTACTTTCACGACTTTACTAATTGTCCACGCATCATTCCCTTCTTATCCTCTATCCTTCCGATTGACTCATAATCACAACCCTTCTCTCCTTCTCCTTCCTCGTCATTGTCATCTCTCGAGCTCTTAACGTGCAAATCATTTAAAAAGTATTTATTTTTTATTTTTTTATTTTTTATTTTTTAATTTTTATTTTTTTTATTTTTTATTTTTTATTTTTTTTTATTTTTGTTTTTTTATTTTTAAATTAGAATCATTTATTCTCATCTATTATATCCTCTACTTCTTCCTACCCTCTACTACTCCCCTCTTTTTTTCCTTATTTGTGATACCTCTAATATTTATCATCATCGATCATCACAAACATGTAATATACAATATGCTATAGACACCTATATATATCATCATCTTTTTGTTCAAATTTTAAATAATTGTAATAATAAAAAAAGTAAAGAAAAATAAATTCGTTACTAATAAACATATACAATATTTCTTCTCGCACACGCACAAATAAATCTCTTCAATATTTAATTAATTCAATTAATAATAAAATTGTAGTTGATTATGATGATAGAGTATTCCAAATACTTACATCATCATACATGTCTACGCTATCCATATAATACATAATATAATAATTTATTCGTTTCATTATTTTATAAACCAATTTGATAAAGTTTGTTAAGATTGTGTTTTTGTCTGTATAAATAATTCATCCTGTATAAAACATGTGCATGTTAGAAATTGTGAATAATTTCAAAATAAAATAATGCAATCATCTAGTATAATACCTTTTTTCATTTTCCAATTCAGCGTTCATATAAATACATCTTTGACTTAAACGATTAATTTCATCCAACAAAAAATTTTCTTTTCTTTGCATATTCTTCATATGTGCAACAGCTTTTAATTAAATTTTTTAATTAATAAGTTTGTTCCCTTCTAAAAAACATAATAAATAAGTAAATAAAATTCTAATTTTACCTTTTTGTAACAGTAAAGCTTTACTCATTTTACGATTGGCGTAGGTGATTGGAAGTTGTTTACGAAGTTCATCGAATCCATCTTTGATTTCAGCACGCCTTTTTTGTTCAGATTGTATATGTATTTGACGTCTAAATTCTGCGTGCGATAATGAACTATAATAAAAACGTGATACATATGATTACAATTATAATTATAAATTATTTATTAGATCCGTTATAACCATATGATAACTTACGTGAAATTATTAGAATCATCATTTAATGGGTTAACAGATCCTTGTCTACTATTATTAATACTATTATCATTACTACTAACAATACTATTATTATTATCGTCGATCATTTCGTAAACTTCATCCATCGAAGAATTATCAAATTGATTATCATTTAATTGTAATGGTTGTTGTTGAAAGTGTTGTTGTGTATTGGTAATATTATTATTATTATTATTATGATTATGATTAAAGCCATTATTATTGCTAGTATTTATACCATTATAACTGTTATTATTATTGATAATGTTATTATTCGCACCAATACCATTGTTGTTACTATTGTTGTTATTACTAGGACGTCTTCTACGTCTATTAGTACCAGATCTTGAATTTTCATATTTTTCTCTATTATATTGCAAGAACTCGGGCATATCAATCTCATCAGCAGTCGACGATGAAGAATAATCACGATAATCAAATATTGAAGAGAGTGGTGACGAGGGAGCAGGCGAAATGATTTGTTGAGGATGGTATTGTTGATAAGGTTGTTGATAAAAATGATGCGGTTGGTGTTGTATTATTAGGGATGATGATGATGATGGTAGAGAATGAGGAGGTAATTGTGCAGTATGTTGTGGTAAATCAGGTAAATTATTATCATCAATTGAGAAAAAGTTGAAAGGTATTGCTGCTGTTGTCGGTGTTGGTGTTGGTGTTATTGAAGAAATTGACGATAAAGAAGCCGATGATAAAGACGAAGATGAGGCTAATGAAATCGGAGACGGTGGAATATTTGATAAATTATTATTATTCAATGAATTGATTGATTGAAGATTGACGGGTGATTGATTGTGATTAGATATTGTTGTTCCTGGTGGTGATGTTAGCGATGATGATGGATGGATTGAAGCGTGATTGATCGATTGACCATCTAGTGTGTAATTGGTTGGATAATTGATTGTTGACATGTTGTTGATTGTTTCTGATGTGGCAGGAGAAGAATCATTACTATTGACGATCGTTTGAGGATAAACAAATGGTGGATCAACTGGATAATATTTGTGGGAGGGAAAGAAAAAATAAAATATCATTTATTATCGGAGATCATCTAATTGAATAGCAATTTAAAAATGTGATAAAGTATACATACACATTTTTATAATATATATTCTTTAGAATATCTAGAAAAATACATTTAAAGGTTATTAAAGTCATTTTATCATATAAATGAAAATTTAATATTTACGTGTTAATACGCGTGTTTTTACGAAAATTTTTTTTACTGTCTTCTTTACCTAAATGAGAAGTAATTTCAGAGTGTTGTTGTCTTTAAATCAATAAACACGTTAAAGATATTATAAATATCAATGTTATTATTGAGGCTGTTCTCTTCGTCCTCCAATAATTTTCAACGTTTATCAGGTAGCGAGTTGAATTGATGAGAAATAGATCGGAGAAACTTTTGTTCAAAATAAATATATTAAATATTAATATTAAATAAATAAAGATATAGTATTATTATTATTATTATTATTAAGAGAAGACAATAAAACTTTTATTATTATAAGGTTTTTTTTTTTTTTTTTTTTTGTTTTGAAGAAAATAAAAAAATTTTTTAGGAGAAAAAAAAAACGCGAAAAATTTAAAAAAAAAATTTTTTTGGGGGAAGGAAAGTCAAAAAAAAAGTTTGTGATGATATATATAGGTGTCTATAGCATATTGTATATTACATTATAAAAAAATCAAGGCATTAGCATACAGACGCATATTAATTAATTGGCCAATTATTTAATGGAGGGTAGTAA